TGTGTGTGTGTGTGTGTGTCTATAACTTAACGTCGGTCAGCTGTTCAGATGTTCTTGGTCTGAAATTTTGAAAATACATGTAAGTGTATGCATATATACATTTTTAATTGCAGCTTCTTAATCGGTGGTATCAATCAGTTGCATCTGCGCAAGTTATACTTGGTTGGAATTCAAATCGTAATTGTCGAAAAGGCCAAGAAAAGAAATATAACATGTTGGTGCAAGTGTAGAAAGAATGAAACATTTCTTTTTCCTCTCTCCTGGAAAAATGTGCATTCTAGTCATTTAAACATCAGCTTTCCCACAATATTAAAACAGTAACAGTGGACCTCACCAAAAGTTACTTTAACGGTACCCCTGAAAAAACTTGGTGTTTGGGTGAGACCATAGTCAGATTCGTGTTCCTCTTTATGGACATTAAGATTCTGTTTCCTCTTTTTCTTACAATAAATCAGTCTAATTACATGTACATAGTTAAAAATATGATTCTTGCTGCTCAAACTCAAACTCAGATAAATTAAAAGGCACTCCCTTCCCTTATCAGAAAAGCAACTCACAATAAACGAGCCAACTGAAAGCATTAAAAAACGCAGTCACCTTAAAGAAGGGTAGTCTTTTCTTTTAATTAAGGAGGGGGTGTACACCTGAGGGCTATCTGGTTTATTTCTGGATCAAACTTTACCACATTTCACACATATAACCAGCTTACTCAAGAGTCTTCAAGCATGCAATCACAATTTAGAAGAAAAAAAACATGCTTCGTTGCCGTGGAGGTGAAGCCCATATTCGATATTACTGACATTTCTTGTATAATTAATACATCACTTATTTTGAATGGAAATGAGTTGTTACTTCGCATGTATGTTAGCGAACAATAGGTCTACAAACCGTGGTTGATTTTTTTTTCCTGAACGAATAGGGATTGTTATTAATTAATGTTCGATTTTCTTGAGGTAGTGTTCAAGGTTGTAAAAAAATCAATGAAAGTCCACACTCTAGATACCACCGACAAAAACTAATTCCTTATATCGAAAATCCAACAGAACAGTGTTACATCTTTTCTTCGTTCTGAACAATTTCATGGAAAATGGATGAAAAGTGGTGGAGTTATTTAAAAAGGTCTATAGAAAAACTGCGTTTTGAGAAAACGGATGATTAAAAATTTGAGAGACTTTATGAGGATGTGGTAGTGACTAACACGCCTGATATGTGAGGAAATAGGGCTGGGGGGG